ATTTTTCCGTTATACATGTGGTAAATTTTTGTATAATCATGTATACTCATTTGTATACTACATGAGGTGAACAGTGGTCGGAGTTCAACATGTGTAATGAGTTTTTCTTTTTCTTGTTACTGGAAGTTAAAAAATAACAAGATATTTATTCACCTCCTCTTTTGCAACAACTTTAAACATCATATCAGCAGCAGCTTTTGATGTACAATAGAGAGAAAGTCCCATGCACTCTAATGTAGCACAAAGTGAAGAAATATTCACTATACATTTCTTTGGGACACAATGAAAAGTATTCAAAAATCTGGAACTGGAATCAAAAAATAAAATCATACTTTTAAAATTATAACAAAAACTATTAGAGGGGAGGGAATCGGACCTACGGTAATTTTGTTTCAGCTCTAATTCTATTTTATTGAAGATGCAAAACATCAACAGCTTCAGATTCAACTTAGGTATTCAGCTCAAATGTTCAGATGGTCTGGTGTTAGCATGATTGACTAGAAGATGGCAAAGTGTCTGGTTATACTATAATAGTTTGACTAGCTTGATGGCAATAATATCTTGGTAACCRACTAAGATGGCAAAAATGACTTGTTAACAGAATGACTGAGAAGGCAGTCTTCTGGTTATCTGATGCCAAAATTCCTACTAGAAATTATATTTTTTCAAGTATGATGCATGCATGACTGCTAATTAGGGCTATTTGAAATTCACTTGGGACCAGCTATAATTATTGCATTTCTACAAATTGGACAATATTTTTTATCAAGTAGGATGATCGTTCTTTTCCAAATGGTAAGTTATTAACYAAAGATACTTTCCAAAATGACTTACACAAGATAGAAGTGAGCGGTGACATTCATATCAAAATGTTTTTGTACTTCCTTTAAGTCACTGAAGTGCTTTACTGTCTTTGATGGATCTCCAATAGTTGAAGCATTATTAATGAGTAAAACATGAGTAAACTCACTGGGATCAACCTGTTTTGATGTAAAGACAAGCCATCAATGTATTTATACTGCAGCCATTACAGCAAATTATAAACTTTTCTTTGATTATGATGTGTAAGTGGATGACAACAAATTTAGTTCACAAGGTGGCCTGTAGGCTCCCCCTCTTCCCCCCACCCTCCCATCCGAAAGCATCAAGCCTGCATCATCAAGACCAAGGAAGCTCTACTCAAATTGAAAAGTTCATACCCTTSCCTGGCATGTTTTTTGGGCTCTTTTACATGTCTTCCCATAGATATCAGCCGCACACCTGATTTTGGAATAATTTTTTCGAAAAAAAGTGCAGCTTATACATTAGTAAATACGGTAACTTATTTTCATGTGTCATGTGAGTAACTAAAAAGGGTTTCTCCTTATGGGTGTGGGCAGGGAGGGGGCAGGGAGGGGTAGGGAGGGGAGGGGGAATTCACAATTTGATTATAATACATTAAATTAGTCATGTTAGTTAAAATATATACATATTTATATTACACCTTATTTCAATTTGCCTGTTGTATATTTTTAAATCCACTAAAACAGATTGAGTTCCCATTTTTACTTAAAAACCTAATTTTACAGAACTCTTTGTGAGTTGCAAGA